GCAAAAATAATGTGAAGTAACTTCCCTTGAGGAATTAATTAGTATGCATGCAACTTCCAGGGAGTTTCCCAGCTTTAATTCTCGCCCAACATCCAAATCTCGCGCACTTCGGCTCTGTCCCGTTAGTTGACGGTTGACGGCCGTCTTTTTGCCGTCCCGTACCGTCTCCTAGTCCAGCGAATGCCAAAGACGGCCGTTTTGTTGATGGGCCGTACCCGTCTCGACGTCCGAAATTGATGGCCGTCCCCGTTTTTGGGACGGTGGGCAGCCCTAGCCCGCTCACCCTGGATTTCCCGATCCATGCATTGTTTAAGGGCCAAAAACAAGGCCCGGAGATTCTTCTGGTCGGCTGCGTGGTTGGTCATCATGCCAGTGACTTTAACAAAAAAACTGTGTGGATATTCGGGGTGCAGCTTGCCGAGGGAAATCGGCAGTCCAAGGTGCATGTACACATTATTTGTATATGTTAGCACATCTTACCCACACGTCAGGATCCCGTGCCATTGATATTGACTCAGCAACAGGTAAACAAGGTAGCCAAAGGGGCCTAACATCGACTGTATTTCAAATGCAATCTCCCTGTGCCGCTGGCACGATCTGCTTCGGGAATAGTAAACAAGCACTCAGTAACTTCTCGTGAATCGACCCAGTGACATTGTTCAGGTCAGACGAGGAGAGCACTCACAAATGTATACAACTTGCTTCACAAACTCAGTTGAATGCCAATGTCTATTGCTTTGAGTATCACATACTATAATACTAATCTGCCCTGAATTTGCTCTTCACGACCTCAATCAACTCAAAAGTGAGATGACCCTATCTCAACAGGCCCTCAACTATTGATGAACCTATCGAGGCCGTATAAAGGCTGGCATCTGAGCACCGACACACAATGGTCCTACTATCCCCACTATGCCAACCGCTCGAACCTCGCTTTCTATTTTCCGACTTGGCCAGCAACTATTTTCAATATCATCCTCAGTCCAATGCACAGTGCATTTGTCTTACTGGGAAAATTGCAGGTATCCAGTTCAGGAGTGTGAGTTCCGAAGGCACCGTGAGTCCAACTGCTGACTGTACTACTACTGGCTAGCTCATTATTCAGCCCCTTCGCACCATTCTCCTGCAATCTCCTGCCAGAAGCATGATGGACAATGTGCTGCATATTATGCAAGGTGATGCTCTAAGTCAACTCGTGGTTAAAGAGCTGGACTCCCATAATGTGAGTGATTATGTTCTCATCGGAGTGTTCTTAATATTGTTGTAGGTGGGCACTGGACACTATGTGTTAGCTGATAGTTGGACCACAGATCACTTGTTCAGTCCGATACCGCATTTCCCATCTGCAGCTAACCCGTGCATCAAATTCATCACCTTGCAACATAGCTACTTATGCAAGGTCTGAGTCACCACATACATCCATGTCCAAACTCACAGCCTACAGTCCAGGATTTTGGATTTTAAGGTCAGGGATGTAGTTGAAGTCCAGGTGTGTTTGTATAGATGTGACGGCTATGAAAATCAGACACCGGTGAAAGTGTATGCAGTGCTAGCTACTGAACGTGACTTGTCGAAGATCCAATAAATCGAGCCCATGCTTAAACACTGTTGTATTTGAAACATACAAAACTGCTGGTTGTCACAGAGCGATACATGGGTCAGAGTCAAAGTAGGTGAAAAACTGGAAACTTTTTCCGAACTTTTTCTGTTTTTGGTGAAAAAAGTGATTGTGAGTCAAAAAGTTCTGTATATATTTTGAGTTTTTCACCTATTTTTTCAGTGAGAAATTCCTGTAAAATTGGTAAAGTTTTTCACCAATTTTCTCACTGAAAAACTTGAAATGTTCAACCAGTGTCTGTGCTCCAGACTCCACCCAGTATGTTCTGGCTGCGGCTATACCAGCTATTTCTGGCAGTTTCTCTAAACATCTTAGATGGTTATATTTTACATACTAAATGCCTTGAGATGCAGTATATGGAACATCCTGATATACATGAAAATTCAATTTCTTTAAAAGAAAAAAAAAGTGTCAAAGTACGAGTTTGCCGGGCCATTGCCACGGCCATCACCCACAAGTTCTATATTGACTGAAACACGTCAAAAGTTGAATAGAGGGACCCAGTTCGATCCGAGGGCTGGACATTGGAGAAGTCGATGGTTTTCATTTTATTTCGTGAGCTGCCGAGGTACTAGGGTCTACCTCTCCATCCTCAGAGGTATCACCGCGCACGGTTACATGGCTATAATTCAACATGGCCACGACGAAAATCCCGAGTCTGTGCAAAATCCCTGGCGTGAATTCGGGTGGAATTGTAGGGTAGGAAGTCCTGTTGGTGTACGGCGCACATATATACTTGATATGGCGATATAAGGCTAGGCAGAAGAACCCTGTTCGATCCGGGGGCAGGACGTGGGGAAAACTGAGACGTTTTGCATTTTATTCCATGGTGCCGAGTTAGATACCAGTACTTGAGTTTACCTTCCTACGAACACGAGTCTACCTTCTCATACTCTTCGAAATACACGGTTCCGCTTCGTACATCGCCCAACGCCAGTTGGATATTATTCAGCATGCCCGCGACAAAAATATCGGGCCTGCGCAAAACCGTCGCATGAATTCAGCTCTTGTTACAGGGCAGGAAGTCCTGTTGGTCTATGAACTCAGCAGTTGAACAGAGGGACCCCGTTCGATCCGGGGGCAGGACATATTTAAATACCAAGATGTCACGCACTTGGGCTGAGAGGTGCCCTCCCTTGCATTCGTATTAATTTATTACCCAACCTGTCGATGATGTCGATTGCGGGTGATTTCGCGGAGGCTGGAGGATGGTTTTCAACTTGATGCATGATCGGATGTCATTGAGGTAGCTGGTGAGTTCTCTCGCATTTAATATCGCATCCTGGCGGGGCAAAGCAAATCACTGGCCGTCCTGTTATTGTGAAAACATTTTCGGTTGTTTTTGGTATGTTTGTTTGCTTTGGGTGTGTCATCTGCTGTCCCTAAATCTTTGATTCCCAAAGATACACACGGCGCGACCTGGCTCTGCAGTATTGAAGTAAGATGCTCGCGTGGAGGGAGCGCCATTGCCAATCGCCTCCGCAAATTTATTTTCTCGGCGCCTCGGCCTGATGAGGCGTGTTGAATACTGATGCGCCGCTGCCAGCATCGTAATGTCGCCATGGGAGCGCTGACCTGCGTACAGACGGACAGAAGACAAACAGAATTGACTTCTCCCATACATTGTGGCTGACTTGCAGCACGCTGCAGGCACAACGTAGACGGAGATGAGGTGGGCGTGTTCATTTATATTTAATCTTCGGACGCGTCCAATTGTTTGCTAAAACTGGCGAGGCCTGGTCGATCGCCCTCGCGCAGCACGAGGAGCGTGAACGGCGAGCACTTGAAACGCCGCGTGCCTGATTCGAGTGCCCGCAAGACCTCATCCGGGTGTAAATCCATGCGGCCTCAGATCGGGCGATCCGGCGTGTGTGAATTTGGCGTAATACTGTTACTCATACCGCTGACGCCTTGAACCGGGCAACACCCCCCGCGACAGTCTGGCAGAGCATCGACAGCTGCATCGACAACGCGGCAGCTTAGAACCGCCGCATTGTCCATTGCTTCCTTCCGTTCTTCCATCTAGCACCCTTTTCTTCGTGGATCCTCGTCTTCGAGAAAATCCGGCGTCGAACCACTAGGCTTGCTTCCACACTTATAATCCGCGCCCTCGCTCGCTTGCTGCGGATCCCAGTCTCCCTAGTACCTCGTGTGCGGCGCCATGGCCTCCTCGTCGACCGCCTCGCGCTCCGACATCGTCCTCCCGAGCATCCACGAGATGTTCCCCGAACACATCGCACGCTCCGCTGCCGCGCCGCCCTTCCCGCGTACCACCGTGACTCATTTCGTCCCCGCCGCGGCGCCGCCCCCCGTGCACGGCTTCTCGTTCGACGTCCTGCGGAGCAGCCCGCGCGCGGCATCGCTGCACCACATCGCCTCAAGCCGCCCGCAGTCGGCTTTACGCCTGCCCTCGTCCCCACCCACCGCCCCCTCGTCCTCCGGCTCCTCCGACGGCGACGCAGAAATGGAGGACGACGACGAGGGCAGCGCGGGCGCGCGCGAGGGGAAGAAGCACGTCTGCCCCGTGTGCACAAAGCGCTTCAACCGCCCCAGCAGCCTCAGCATCCACGCGAACACGCACACCGGCGCAACGCGTGAGTGTGACTCCTCCTCGGTTTGAATGCTTGAAATTAACGCGTGCGCCCAGCGTTCAAGTGCCCGCACCCCGGCTGCGGCCGCGCGTTCAACGTCAACTCCAACATGCGCCGCCACTTCCGCAACCACGGCGGCCCCGCGTTCCCGCCATCTGCGCCTGTACCTGCGCCGCCGCCGTTCGCGTGCCCGCCCGCGTTTGTCCCGCCGCCGCACTTCGCATCGCCCGTCTCCCCGCTGTCGCCCCCTGCGCCGCCGCCTGAATACGCAGCGTATGCGGCCACCGGATACAGATATGGATACGGATACGGGTCCGGAGATGGATACAGATACGGAGATGGCAATGGATATGTATATGGCGGTGGTGGCGGTGGTGGAGGCGGAGGCGCCGACGCGCCGCGGTGGACGTGGGGCGCGTATACTTACAACGAGAGCGACGTGCGCTCCGAGCGGCGGTAGCCCGCGCCCTACGCCCTTCCTGCAACACCATCATAAACTCTTCTGCAACACCATCCCCATCCTCTCGCACACACACACATAGCATATCTTTTTGCCTCCAGCATATTTTGACGGCTCGAAGCGTAGAACGGCCTATCTTGTTTGTATCTTGTATCTTATTATTGTATCAGTGTATTGTATCCCGAACGAATTAATCTGCAAGCTCTTGACTTGTGTCGATGTAGCGTGTACAGAATTCGTCGTGTTTTCAACCCGATCGGAAATACAACGTTACTTGAATCACCCGCAGAAAATGCACTACAAGACACAGGTACGTGGACAGCCAGTACGAGTCCCGCTGGTGCGCGGCGCACGCCTGCAATTAATTACCCATTCATCGAGCCACATATGCATGCGCAGGAGGCCTCCGTTCGACTCGGAGGCGGGACAATCTTAACACTCTTTGAGTCAGGGAGCAAACGATTCCGGGACTGTAGATTTGAGCGCATAAATCGAGGGAGGTTCAAGTAATTATGAGTCCCGCTAGTGCGCGGTGCACACCTGCATTCAATAAGCTGTCGAGAGGGCATTTATATAATTACTGATGCGGGAGGCCTCCGTTCGACTCGGGGGCGGGACATGACCTGGGTGCAGCATTTTTTCAAGGCAGTGATGAAAAGTTCAGAGTCCAACAAACCAAGGGATATCCAAGCCAATTATGAAGCCCGCTGGTGCGCGGTGTACGCCTGCATTCAATACTCTGTCGAGAGGCAATTTAGTGATGCGGGTGGACTCCGTTGGACTCTGGGGCGGGCCATGATAATTGCTTTCGGAGCCTTTTTTCTTTAGGGCAGCGATGACATTCCTGCACCGACAATTCGAGTCGCCAACACCGAGGGACCTTCAAGCCAATTAAGAGTCCCGCCGGTGCGCGGTGCACGCCTGCGTTCAATGAGCCATTATGGTGATGCGGGAGGGCCCTTCGATTCGGGGGCGGGACATTCTTCGTTTGTGTGCTGTTTTTAGGGCAGCAATGGCAGTCCTACACCGAGAATTCGAGTCCAGTGAACCAGGGACGTCCAAGCCAATTACCAGTCCGGCTGGTGTGCGGTACACGCCTGCAATTTATACTCAAAGGCAGCTGCCTTACCGATGCAGGAGAGCCTCGTTCGACTCAGGGGCGGGACATATTCAGCGAACAGTCTACTGGGTGGTTTTTCTTCATACTCAAAGATTGGAGTGTATAAAGCCAAGGTGCATTTAAGGCGATTAACTACAGCATGCGAGGTACGAGCTACTTCTGTTGTAACGTCTGTCTACGAGACTAGCGATTAACAGTCTCGCTTGTGCGCGGTGCACGCCTGCAATTTATAGTCGGACCTGGAGGTAGATATGCAGGAGGCCTCCGTTCGACTCGGGGGCGGGACATTGTTCTTGGGCGTTGTTTTTCTGTTTCTCGGGGAAGCCATGGAAGCCAGCGGTATAAATGCGAGGCTCGAGGTTGCAAAACACAGGATCGGTCAATCGCTGGTGCGCGGCGCATGCCTGCAATTGATAGAGCTTTTCATCCCAACTTGTGCAGGAGGTCCCCATTCGACTCGGGGTCGGGACATAGACCGGCACTTTGTAACACTTTTTGAGTGAGGGAGCGAACAATTCCGGGGCTGTGAATTCGCGAGCATAAAGCCAAGGGTCGTTCAAGCTAATGAGAGTTCCGCTGATACGCGGTGCACGCCTGCAATTGATAGTCGAGTCGGGCTGCTTTATATGTGCAGGAGACCTCCGTTCAACTCGGGGCGGGACATCGCTTGGGTTCGTGCCTCTTCTTGATGAATATGAGGGGCCTGTGTTGAAAGACTATTTTATACGTATAATGAGGTCAAAAAATGCTACGTGAAGGTTACTAGCCGAGCACGGAGTAAAGGTAATGGCATCACCGTGGATTGAACACGGGACCTTCAGATAACAGTGAAATGTCTTCAGTCTGCTGCTCTCCCAGCTGAGTTATGACGCCGAGTGAGATGATACTACACTGCTAACCTGAGTCAACAAAATCGAGGACCGCTCACTGCAATTAAGAGTCCCGTTGGTGCGCTGTGCACACCTGCATTTTGTTGAGTATGTCCCTTAGGTTAATTGTGCAGGAGGACTCGCTTAGACTCGGAGACGGAACATGGCTTGCTTCGGAGCATTTTTTTCGAGCAGCGATGACATTCCTGTACCGACAATTCGAGCACCTAAAACGAAGGGTCGATCGAGCTAATTCTGAGTCCCGCTGGTGCACGGTGCACGCCTGCAATTTATACCTGAAGCCAAACAGTTTTCATATGCAGAAGGCCTCTATTCAACTCGAATGCGGGACATGATGCATGAAGGTGCGATCTCCTGACCTTTTTTAGGGAGGAAGCGAAGGATTCTCGGGCTGTAAATTCGAGTGCACGAAACCAAGGGACTTTCAAGCTAATTACGAGTCCCGCTGGTGTGCGGCGCACGCCTGCATTCAATCAAGTGAGAGTAGTGTACATATGCAAGAGACCTCCGTTCGACTCGGGGGCGGGACATGAACCGGCACTTCGTAACGCTTTTTGAGAAAGGAAGAGAACAATTCTAGGCTGTAAATTCGCGCGCACAAAACCGAGGGTCGGTCAAGGCAATTATGAGTCCCGCTGGTGCGCGGTGCACACCTGCAATAGATATATGGTCCTTTCACTCCAACCTGTGCAGGAGACCTCCGTTCGACTCGGGGGAGGACATTTTCGCTTATTACCCTATTTTTGAGAGCAGCGACGACATGCCTGCAACGAAAATCCGAGCATATAAAACGGAGGGAGGTTTAAGGCGAGTAAGAGTCCCGCTGGTGTGCGGTGCACACCTGTACATTATCCTGCTGCTATATACTGCAGGCAGGAGGACCTCGTTCGACTCGGGGACGGGACATTATGGAGCTTTTCAGTTTCTTTTATATATTATAAGTCAGGCCAATCATCAGCTGTACCTAACTTTTACCTCTTTGTCGCTGCAGCCGCAGCATATTTCAGCGCCACCCACCGCTAGAATCACCCCGCATCTTGAATATTGTATCAGTGGAATATTAATCGACCATGTGTAACATCATATCTTTCTGACACCCGAATGTCAACTCTGCCTCAACTTCGCGAAATCATTTACTTAGGTGTTCCACAAACAAGGCCCCAACTTGAACCCCAACTTGGCTCAAGTTGGGGCCAAGTTGGGGTCAAGTTGAGGCTCAAATATCTAATTCTGAAACACCCTATTGGTAGTAAGTCGTCCACTTTGTCAATTTTTTACAGTGATGACATTCCTACACCAACCATTCAAGTCCACCCAACCGAGGGACATTCAAACCAATTACGAGTCCCGCTGGTGCGCGGTGCACGCCTGCACTGTTTAATATCGAAATAAGAAAGGTATATATGCAGGAGGCCTCCGTTCGACTCGGGGGCGGGACATAGACTCGGATGCGATCTCGCAACACCTTTTGAGTGTGGCAGTGATTCTGTGCTGCAATTCCAGTGCACAAAACACACACGGGAAATTGAGAGGTTTCTGGCTGCCCTGAAACGTTCCTGAAACTAATAGTTTCAGGAGCATGGTCACGTGAATTACCATATAAGGCAACTCACGTGACCTTAACGCCTGAAACTAATAGTTTCAGGAACGTTCCGTGGCGGCCCGAAACCTCTCAATCTTTGGTGTGACACAGGCAGTTTGAAGGTAATTATGAGTCCCGCTGGTGCGCGGTGCACACCTGCATTCCATAAGCTTTAGGGAGAGCAGTTAGTGATGCGGGAGGTCTCCGTTCAACTCGGGGGCGGGACATTAGGATGTCTTGCAGTGTTTTTGAGTGAGGCAGCGAGCGAATCTAGAGCTTGAAATTTGGGCGCATAAAACTGAGGGACGTTCAAGGCAGTTACCAGTCCCGCCGGTGCGCGGTGCACACCTGCAAATGATGACTCTTGTTGCATGGATATGCAGGAGGACCCTGTTCGACTCGGGGGCAGGACATTCTTGGGCGTGTTTTTCCTGTTTCTCGGGGAGGCCATGGAAGCCAGCGGTAAATGCGAGACTCGAGTCAACAAAACCAAGGGTCGTTCAAGATACGTTCAAGCCAATCATCAGTCCCGCTGGTGCACGGTGCACGCCTGCAATTAATAAAGAAGGTTGAAGTAGATATACAGGAGGCCTTCGTTCGACTCAAGGGCGGGACAATCACCAATCGCGCAACATCAATCTGGACGCGAGCGCGTTGTGTGCGCGTATTTAGGGACCATGTCGCGTTTGATGTGAATATGAAACATGCCAAGTCTTTGGCTGATCAGCGTTTTTAGACAGTCTCCTCCCTCTCACCCTCATTTTCTGTTGCGCGTGTTCGTCACTGTTCTACACCCTCGCTCTTTACCGCCATGCTCCTACGGCTGCTCCCCTCCTCCGCCGTGCACGCGGCAGCTTAGAACTGCTGCATTGTCCATTGCTTTCTCCCTTTCTTCCATCTGACTCGCGACGCTAGCATCCTTTCCTCCTGGATTCCCATCTTCGGGAAAATCCTGCTCCGAACCACTAGGCTTGCTTCCGCACTTATAACCCGCGCCCCCGTTCGCTTTCTGCTTATCCCAGTCTCCCCATCACCTCTTGTGCGGCGCACCATGTCTTCCTCGTCGAGCGCACCGTGCTCCAACATCGTCCTCCCGAGCATCCACGAGATGTTCCCCGAAAACATTGCGTGCTCCACGGGCGCGCCGCCCTTCCCATGCCTCACCGTGACCCATTTCGTCCTCGCCGCGGCGCTGCCCCCCGCGCACAGCTTCTCGTTCGACGTCCTGTGGAGCAGCCCGCACGCGGCGTCGCTGCACCACATCGCCTCGAGCCGCCTGCAGCCGGCCCCGGCCCCGGCCCCACGCACCGTGCCCTCATTATCAGGTTCCTTCGATGGCGACGGCAACGAGGGCGGCGCGAGCGCGGGCGAGGGGAAGAAGCATGTCTGCTCCGCGTGTGCGAAGTGCTTAAACCGCCCCAGCAGCCTCCACATCCACGCGAACACGCACACCTGCGTAGTGATCATCACGGGCCAGCAACCCGCGGCGGGTCTTACCCGCAGTAAAAGTATAACTTTTACTTTCTGGATCTTTCCCGTGGAAAAAGTTTGCCTTTTTCCAGCGGAAAAAGTCGCGGAAAAAGTTCAAATTTTCCCTCGACTTATCCGCGGTAAAAGTCTGACTTTTTTCCCGGAGAAACATGGGTAGTAATTTTCCTTTATTTTTACTTTATTTTTTCCCTAGGCAAAAGTTTCCCGTGGTAACGGATATCCTATTTCTAGGCCCATTTTCCCACGGTAAAATTATTTGATCACCGCCGGGATTAGAGACCACCTACCTGGCCACTTAAGCATGAGATTGAGTGGCCGGCAAGCGGCGGAGCACAAACAGGGCAGA